CTGTCTATCAATCGGACACCATCAGTTAATCTCCACCACACTCTCAGTCACGCACAAATCAAACCCACACCAGGCAGTCTTACACACACACCTCAAGCATTCTCAAAAAAAACCACCCGAGCACCGCCCACACATACCCTTTTTTATGGAATGTGCACAGGGTACTCTAGTTCTGCGCTCGATACTAAAATGTGCACACAACAATACTTTCAGGTGGCTGACATCATCTTAACAGGGGTAGGGTCAACTGCAATTCAGACTGTGACCTTAGAGAGTCAGGCTGGGTACCACGATCTCTCTCTCTCTCTCTCTCTCTCTCTCTCAGACAGAGACCCAAATTTCTATAGCAACACTGCCCACTCAAGCTGGGGGCTGCCAGGAGTAGATTTAACAGGCTTGGGAACAGTGGGTAGAACCCTGTTATTTTCCCCTCTAGTACATTTCCTCTGCCATCCCAGGTGCTTAAGCTGCTGGGACTGGGTACAGGAGGTGCCACAGTGGTGGGCGATTTCCCCCTTCCAGCACCTGTTCTGTCTAGTGAGTGACACACCAGGGGACTGAGCAAGGAGCAGACTCTGGAAGCAGGAACTCTGCCATTGTCTCCAGCCAAGTCTAGAACTCTGCCATTGTCTCCAGCCATGTCTAGCATCCTGGCCTGCCACTCATAGAAGCCCATGGCTGCAGCAAGACAGAAGTGGCTTTGGGGCTTCCCCCCACCTGGGTTAGCTGGAGACAGTCATGGCAGCAGAGAGGTTCCTACTGAGAAGGGGAGGGGAGCAGAAAGGAGGGGAGGGGAGGGGAGCGGAGGGGAGGGGAGGGAGTACCCAGAGGCAGGATTGGGAGTCTTACTTGTATTGGGGACTCAAAATACTTCTGAGAGCTGCTGCTGTGGTGAGGCCTGGCCCCTGCAGGGCATAGGAGAGGGGTGGGATCAGAGACAATCATAGCATGGTGTGGGGCCTGGGGCAAAGCAGCCTGTGCAGAGCCCCCCTCCCTGTCCCATGGCACACTTATACCGGGGAGTGAAAGCTCCGGCACACGGGACGTGGCAGGAGGGGCGGCTGGAACTTCTGGCTGGGTGGCAGGGCCAGTTAAATTTCAAATGTGGCAGCCATGGCATCTCCACCTGGCTCTGCAGGGCCCCCCAAAGCATGGGGCCCAGGGCAGGTCCCCCAATTTGTGCCCCCCTATGGACAGCCCTGGGTGCAATGCAACCATCCCTGCAATGCCAGTGGTATCTCCTGCATCCCACTTTTTTAATTCCTAGAGCTGCCCATGGCCATCAGGCAAGGAACTGTTAGTTCTGTATAGGCTATAAACTCTGTTTAGGCTTTAACAATAGGAGAGACTATTTCACTTGTTCTGTTCAGAGCTGTGACTTTACAAGCATCTCTGCTGCAAGTGATGTCATACAATACTCTGTGTCTTCTTTAATGGACCCTTTTCTTCTTTTCCTGCCTGTCTAAATAATTTGCCTGGGCTTTGTTTTTGTATTCAAATATTAATTTTCCTCAAATTCATTTGAATTTGAAAAATTACAGGAAGGTATCATATTTTTAATGTTCACCAAAACAATTGGCTATATTTTCTATATTTTTTCAAGCTGATTTCATATTTTGCTTTTATTTTAAGGTACAGTTGCAAACTACCAGTAGAGTGCTAATGCCTACTCCTCCCAAACAGCCTCGGACTACTCTAAAACCAACTGCCTGTAAATCCTCCTCCCCTTCACCTTCTTGTGCTTATGAGGATATAGAAGATGTAATTAAAGCCAACATCACTGATCCTCTGGAAATTATTAAAATCATATGTGAAAACAAAAATCTTGGATTCCTTTACATGACCCCTGCAGTACCTAGGTCCTCAGTTGAATATGATGTATTTAACTTGAAGTGAGTTACATTTTTTCAAGCTGTTTATTTGGTTTATGTATCCAAACTTAATGTTCAAGATTATAATGAGTATTAAGCAGTGTTTGATGTGTACTCTATTCTACTTTTTATTACTTGCTAATTGCCTTGTAATTATTACCTAAAAGAACATCAGTCTTGATGTGTGTTTTAGTGCTTAATTTTCCTCTTTATGTTTTAAAGTTCAAACTTTTAGAAATAATATTGTGAAAGTGTTGCTTGTTTTAAAAGATCACTTTATCTTTTTTAAATATAATTATAATAGAATACAAAGAGAAAACTAGGTTTATGTTCCTCAAACAATATCAGTATAATATGGTAAAATATTGCTTAAACAGGTGTTCTCCTGTTGCAGGACAGTTGTGATCCACAAGGTCTATAACGTGCATATTTTAATGAATATCCTGTCCATAGGTAATGGTTTACATATTGTGTTGGATTATTGGATGGTGTAAATTGGTGTAGCTCCATTGATTTCAAGGGGTCTTTGCTTTGTGTGCCCCCAGATCTGTGCGGGGTGGGGTGGGTCGGGCCAGGGCTGCACCGGGTTGTGCTCCGGGTGGGCGGCGGGTGCTACAGTAAATTTTCGGGTGGCTGCAGCCACCCCATAGCCCCTGCTCCACTGCCCACCCTGCCTTGATCCAGGGGCACACCTCCCCCCATGCCCTCCTGCCACTCACGCAGCCGGAGCAGGATGGGCACAGGACAGAGCCGCTGTGCTGCCTCCAGACAAGTGGCGCATAGTAGTGGGAGCTGCCCCTGCTTCCTGTGCCCCCTGGACAAGCTGTGGCTTTGAGGGCATGGGGTGGGGGCGTATTCCCAGACTGGGGCAGGTCGGATGGCAGAGTGGGGCCTATGTGGGGGGCTGCAGCATCCGGAAAATTTGGCATAGCCCCCGCTGCCTGCCCAGAGTGCAGCCCGGTGCAGCCCTGGCCCTGCCCACCCCACCCCAATCCAAGGGCACCC